TCCAATTTCAGCGCTCACAACTAGCATTCAACAATTCTAGCACTGCCCAACCACGTACTCATTTACAGCTGAGTAGACTGGAACAAGCAGAGTAAAGTATCTTGGTCAAAGATACAACACAGTACCATGACGTGACTTGAACCCGCAACCCTTCGACAAGGAGCCCGTTGAACTACCATTAGACTAATGTGCCTCCAAAAAATTATGAGACTGACCTAGGCCAACACACAATGTGTACATCAACTGAAACTTTTGTGACCTTGAACTTGACCAAACAAAAAATATATCTGAACATTTCACTACACACTACCAGCTATCACCAGTATAAATCTATTAACTGATCTCTGCCAAAAACATACCCAAGTTTATTTCAAACAAACAAATCTACTGCACATACATGCTTGCTAATTTACATAACTGGTGAAGCAGTTAAAGTGGCTAGCACTGAAGTGTGTATTGTGGAAAATATTTCCTTGTCATAAAACTACACAAATCAAATTCTTGCTATATTCATGTACATGTGCACCATTTGAGTCTCCGAAAAATATAATCTCTGCAAAATAACTGGCTATAGTTATGCTAGGAGTCAACAGTTTTTATTATAAATGTATAGATTTATAAACAAGAATGCTGTTAGTAATATTAAAGGACAAACACCCATACAGCAGAGATATTTGAACCAGACAATACCAGTTGGGTGCTCTGTTCGGGTGGCACAGGGGCTAATGCATTCGCCTTTCACCATGATGCCTGGGGTTCGCAGGGTTAGACACTAACTGTTTTTGCTTGATAGTCCACAGGACTAGTTGAATAGATTATTTACTAGTCCATCATCAATGTAACTAGTCCAAGATTTCCTGTTAAGGAAACATTGTCATCTACAGCACGAAACATCAGAAGTAATCGACTGTAGGAGACTTAATATAACTACTGTCATAAAAATATAAGTTTTAGGAAAATTTGACAATTATCATGCAATATATCTTATTTTTAAGCAGTTTTCAAAATTTTAAAAAGGAATCTTCTTATTCTATAATCATATTTTTCACAAGTCCAAAGGACCAGTTAGGTTAGGTGATTCACTAGTCCTTGCTGAAATTTACCAGTCCAGGACTAGTGTTAGTGTCGACCCCTGGTTTGATACCCCAAGCAGATGTAAAATGGTATTTTGGACACAGACCTGACTACTTGATCACAAGTTCGCTGGGTACTCTAGTTTCCTTGGACATTTTAGACACTCTGTGCACCTCACAAAGAGTGATTAATTGAAGTTGGAAAACATTTTTCATAATTATTGTAAATTTTAAAAAAACCTCACCAGTGATCAACAAATTATTTGGGACTAAAGAGTATGTGATATTTCTGTTTCATCATATAGCATATATACTGAGCAACAAACAAACGACTGACAAGCTGAAAATTTTATTGTAAAACAATTTACACATTCCATACAGTGTAACAGTACACATCAGTTAATCATTTTCACAGTCTAACATATATCAGCAAAATTTTAAAGCAAGATTTTCTCTCTCTCAGAATAACAAAACATGAAATATTACAGCTCAAGACAGTAGAAAATTGCAAAAATATCATATTTTGCGGGTCCTAAATATAAGGTCTTTCAAAAATACACATAATAGTTACATGGTACTTTCTGGAGAGAATGTACATGTGTTAAGACTGTAGAAATATATATATCCATAAACTATAGTTACTGTTAATACTTCAGAAATGAAGTCTCTATAGAAAAGACTCTCAAAAGTGATGACAAAGAACTTGTTTATAAATAGAAATAATGATCCTTAACCTTGACATCCTGAAACACACAAGGTTTTTAAAGCATTCTCACATTTTAAATATTAAAATGAAGCTTGATAAAAAAAAAAGAGTTTTTTACATGAATTGAAGTCAATAAACTTTAACAAATTTAAAAGTTTTGAAAAGAAATATATGTAACAGCAACAGTGCAGATACAGGAGTTTGTCAAATTTTCGTGGCCATTAGATCATTTATGAAGACACAAACATGAACAATTATTTATCATAACATATATAACAGTGATAAACCGTTACCATGGAACAGTTCTAAATTACAAAATATATACTGTATTACTTGTGTGTGCTCAACTGGAAGTGAAAGCCGAGCTTGAGCAGAATTAAACTTTTCATTAATAATAAAAAGATTTGTAACAATTATATTTGATTTTTCGTTACCAACTTTTTATTCCACCCTAACAACAATCAAATGCTACAGTTTAACAGTATTAGATTACAAAATGGGTCTATGGAAAATTCACAGTTACTTTCAGACACTGCGTATACTGTAAAATCTTTGCAGAGTTATACTTTCGCCTTACGCAAATAAACTCTATTTAAGCCTAGTGTTGAGTTTGCCCTTCACATAAAACTACTATATGTATATGTTGTTTACTTGTATTTACAGTAATGATAAATTCACCCTTGTTACAGAAGGTGAAGACTAAACTGTGACGAAAAGTTTCCGGTATACATTTACAAATTGCACATCTTTTACAAGCAAATGCCTTCAGCCCCTTGCTTTCACATTAGCATATCATATCAGTATTAACTTATTTTTTTTATTATGTGATGTAGTATTGTTTCATGGTGACTGTTTATCTGTAATATATATTTTCAAAATGACAAAGCTCCCTAGCACTACTATCTCTTCAGAGGCTCATCTGGGGATGTAATCCGACCAGTGGATCCCAAAATGAACCTCTAAAGGACCCCCCCCC